GTTTTGTTAAAGGAAGAGCAAGGAGATCTTAGTGAAAAGAGGATGTGAGAAGGGCAGGGCCAGGAAAGATATAAACGTATATATGCTTGCACAATGCTGAGAATAGAGGGAAGTCAGAAGAACCACTAGGTAGAAGTGCCAGTGCCTTCATGCAGAGGCACTCAGCGCCACTGCAGCTTATTGACATGGATTATACAAAACCTTGCCGTAAGCACTGATACTTTTACCGTACCTCTTACTATGACAAATTTCATTTCCCTTTTTCATTTCCCCCCTTATTCCTGGCCTGATCCCCATCTTGCTTCCTCTTTGTTATTCTCAGTTATGCAGGCTTATGATATGCCTCTCTTGCCACGCTTGCTGTTGCTTTTTGCATCGTTTCAGTCCTCATTGGCACTTTGTCTGACCAAGGCACTATCTTGTCCCTCTTATTTGCCTTTATGACTGCTGGGTGAGCACTCTGCTCTCTGGTCCTTTTTAATTCCTAGTAGTCTGTTTTGTGTCTTCGGCACTTGACCGAAGCTGCTGTCCTCAAAACGGCTAACTGGCTTTCCTCTCCAGCGTCATTGGCAGCCTCTTGAGTAAATCATTGCTTTTTATTTTTCCTCTCAGGAACAAGAAGGCTATTCTGTTCCCAGATAGGAAGCTTTTCCCCATAAACATCTCTCGTTATGTCCCCATACTAGACTCCTGCTTCGCTCAGGTATCATCTCTTGTCTCTCTCCATTCCTCCTTAGGGGTTCTGCTGTTTCAGCTACTCTATCAAGCTTGCAATTCTTTCCCTTTCTTCCTGTGTTCATACCTTTCTGTGTACAAACCTCAATGATAATGCTCATTTCTCTAAATAGATGTGTTCACAAGCTGTTACTGTTAGAACAGGTGATCTGTCTTTACTGTAACTTAGTGATGTTTTACAAAAGAGTGTAAGAGCCTTAAGGTGGCTTTCAGAAAAAATGATTTTATTCATTAGCCCTTTCAGAAATGGAACAGTTCCAGAAATGAGGCAGTAGTTCTCAACAGTGGATGTTCTTAGACCTTGGTCAGAGCACTGGGGTGTCTCACATTAATGTATGTCTCAATCTTTTCTAGCAGCATCCCCATGACTGATGCCACATCAGTCACAAGAGTTGCACTGGAATTGAATCCAGCATCTGGAGTGCCTAAGATACGCAAAGAACACTATGTGCACTCTAGCAAGGAAGTGCTTTCAACACATGTTTATAAACTGCATAAGATAAATAAACATATCAGATGTGTAACCTGGCATTGTAAAACTTACATCCTTGTAACAAGAGATTTAGTAATTTGTAACCTTGTGATCCTGCACTAAAAAGGCTCACTGTGGAAGCTGGGACTCTTTTCAGAAAGAGGGATGATGGACTTCCAGATAAGTTGGAGACCTCATGATGTCAACACTTTGGCCTCATGTTTAAAAAAAACAACAAACCAACAAAAAAAAACACCCAAGCGAAACAGAAGCGTATACGTCAGAATCTTATAGACAGTGTGTTTCTGTAAGAGAACAAGCACATATCTCGTGCTGATCAGGACTTTTAGGTGCTGTTGCACCTAGAACTGCTACTGTAGAAAATTTTTGTGTTTACTTTAGCCTGAGTAGGACCTGAAGTTTCTTCATATAACTGATACACTTTCCTACAAACGGGCACATACCTGCCTTGCTCTTAACTACATGTGGCAGGAAGTCTTTCTGTTCCAGCACTGTTTAAGGTGTTCAGCTGCTCATCTGATGTGGCATTTTCTTAGCCTATCACTGGTGGAAATTTCAATTTTTTCTTATTAAAAGAGACTGATGGAAATTACTGTTTTCTCCAGTACTGAGTGGTGTGGGTTTTTTGCATTAAAGTTAATATTGCCACTGAAAATATCACCGAGTACGTCATCATGCACAGAATTCATGTTGCTAGCTCTGACTTCCCTGCTTGACATTTTTGCTCTTTCTCCTTTTCTCCCCTGATGCTTAGCCTAACTTTATATTCTTTTTTGATTGTTTTCATTTCACCACTCTCTTGCAGATCACTCTATGTGAAAGGGAACATGCACCCTCCTGCAGCATACGTATGCACATCCCTTCCAGTAGTAACCAGGTTCTGTACTGACTTGGAATTAGTCAGATGCGGGGCAGGCATCTTGGAGACCATCTGATCTTTCTGTATTTTCCATATTCTTCTCTTTTTGCTGTATTTCTTTCTTTTCTTATCCTCTTTGTAGGTGGATCTTGAAGGAGCGAAGAAAATACTTCCATTCGTTTTGTGCACGACAGCACTTCGGTTCATTATTATGGTTTCCTGCGTGTTTGTCTCAGTTGTCACAAAGTAGGAAGAAAGAAAATGCATTAGGATAGTGTGGTCCTAGAACACCCAAAGCAAGCGGGGAACATTGGGTAGATACAGTATCTTGAAAGAAAAGGGTTAATATTTCTATTGCATGTGTTTTAAGGTGATTCTGTCTCTTTAACTGAAAGCTTGCAAAAGCTTTAGAGTAAATGACATTTTTTCAACATTGTTTGATCTTCATGATAGAGTTCATTTATGGAATGAGCTTTCTTGAACAAAGAGATGTGCCACTGTGGCTTCTAGGAAGCTGAGTGACTCAGAAATCAGTCACTTCATCTGGAGGGTCATGTGAATGGCGGAATGAAAGGTTGATTTGTCTGAGTAGATGCAGTCACCTACGCATGTGGTAAGAAAGTCAGATCACTTGGTTACATTCCCTTTGGTTGAAAGAGTTTTGCAGTTTTGGAGTTGGCTGTGATCCAAAACATTTGTGTTGGGGTTTTGCCTGGTCTCAGCCTTTGGACGGCTCAACTCTTAATGCAGTTATCTGCATCTGTGCAGCTCAGCAACCATAAATTAGGACCTGTTGGTCTCCTGAAACGAGAAGAACTGATCTCTTTTGCCTGTGGTTGTAAGTGTATATAGGTAATATCACTAAAATGCAGTAGTATAAACTATGCCTTTCTCCAACATCAAGCGGGAGAAGCTACACTGATGTAGACTGCAGCTTTTGGTAATGGAAAACTCATAGAAATCAGTTTGTTCCAGAGGCTGGTCACCTAGAAATGTCAGCTGGCAGGGCTTACTTATAGTTTGTCAGGGGAGTGCTGGGGAGCATTTGGGAAGTTTGCCGGCACTGTAAATGTCTTGGGAAATTGTGAGAATTTTGGAGTAGCAGAGTTGACACCTTTACAGAATTGTTGAAGAAGGGCTTTGTGTTTTGTTTTTATTAATATGACTGTAATCAGAATCTAAGAACAATCTTCCAAATATCCCTTGACTTGCTGAAGCAACAGTATGTTTTACCTGTTACTGTAGGGTACCAGTAATTTGCGTTGATCATGCACATTCTCATTGTCTATGTGGAGGTGATTCAGTTGTGATCTTGCAAAAAATCTGTTTTTTGCATGGGAAATTGTATGTGCAAGATTTGTATCTAAATAGTACCTAAATGAACTTATTGTTGAATTGTAATTACAATATAACTTCATGCCTGCTATATGGTTTAACTGCAATGAAAAAACCTCTTTAGTAATACAATAGAGAACATTCTGATCCTGATTCCTACTGCTTTATGCCTTGTGAAGAAACATGGGAATAAATGGCCATCTGAAAAGAGCTCTCAAGAGCTGGTATAGAGAACAAGGGCATATGCAGCATATATGTTGTAGACAAGGAGAGAGCGTTCATGCTAAAGAGTACGTTTTCTAAACAACATCTCTACAGCAAAGAGAGGGTTTCCTGAGCCTGTAGCTGTCTGAGTTAATGACCATTTTGTGTCTCAAGGTGTACGTACAGCGGCTGAGGTCAGGCATTCGAGCCTAAGTGTTTGCACAGGCTTTAAATTGATATCTTCATTACAAGCTGTATTGTGTGCAGTCTCTTCCCTTTATGAAGATGGAGGTGGGTTGGATGCCCAATCCAGTGATGAATATGAATTGTGATGCCGTCTTCCAGGCCTGGTTCATCACATGGGGACAGAGTTTGTGAATTCAGTTATTCTGTGCAATTCCTGCTCAAGGAGAGGTCCAGAATTTTTGTGTGGATTGCTAGAGGTGGGATCTTGTATATTTACAATCACTTATTTAAGTACTTTCTGTAACATTGTTATTTTTTAGATTCTGAAAAACTGTGTTTCTAACTTTTATGGTTACTTTTATGATTTTTAATTTGATAAGATTAACCAAATTAACCCAATGCAATGATATTTTCCCTGTTTTACATGCTGCCTGAACCAATAGCTTTAGGAGGTTTGAAGTGCTCCGTGCCCCTAAGTGGTGTATTAGCAGCTCTGCTGTATTAGCAGCGCTTTCACTGTTAGCATCATTTTACTCGTGGCTTTCTTAGCAGAAACATCTGATCAGTGGTTTTCCCACAGCTTCACTACTGCCTCTCAAACCTCGTGCCCTGAAGCTAAACGCTTTTTGCTAGTTTAGCTAAAACTGTCTCATAGTTCACAAGGCCCCACTTACAGGGACAGTTATCACATTGACAACACTTTTATACAGAGTCTGTTGTAACAAAGAAAAAGCAAAGTGAATTGCTACAATAAATTAATTCCTCCTATAAAATTAATTGCTATGAAATATAATTTTATTCCTTTTATTTCCTTGTCCAGATATGTTTGGACAGATGCCCTGCTTTGTCTATTGAAACATGAAAAGCTAATAAAAAATATTAAATTATGCACTAAGAACAGGCAGTTAATAAAGCAGATGCCAGTGGTGGTGTTTGAGGCAAGCTACAGCAAAGTACTGGTATTAGAAGGAAGACAGCCTGCAGTAGATAATTTTTTTCCAAAACCTGAACAAATAAATGGAAGTACCTGAGGAAAAAAATCAGAAATTTTTCTTAATAAAGTGGCCATGATATTACACAGAGGTTGAAAGTATTCTTTGATGGCTAATTGAAGGATGTATCTGCATAGGATAAGGATTTAAACTGAGGTTCTATACAATTATTTTTACAGGTTTGCTAATGTGAAGGGCAGATTGCCTGTTTCCCCAGAGTTAACTCTGAGCTGACTTCTCACTGCAAATGGACAGCTTGTCAAAGATGAGGCCAGGCGAAACAGCTTCTTACTATCTCAACTATGGAAGGTCAACTTTGTGCTAACTTGGAGATTTCTGTGAAAAAACCTCCAGGAGTAAGTCCTCCATCCTTCATTGCTTTGCTGAAGGTATACCGAGAACTTCTGGTTGGTAGAATCCGAAACACACAGTGTTTGATTGACAACTTGATTAAGAATGACTACTTCTCCACTGAAGATGCAGAGATTGTTGTCCAATTTCCAACGCAAGCAGACAAGGTATGTTTCTTTTATTTCACTAGCCAGTGTAAGCTTTTTGTTACTTTCCGTTTACCACCAGGCTCTATGGGCTTATCTGGCAATTTTACATCTGATGTCTTTTCTAGTCCTTGTTATTTTGGAGTCTCCCCACTCCAGCACATCTCATTCCAGCGCAGCTGGCACCACTTGTAACGCCGGTTGGTGGCTGTGAGAATGAGCAGGGTGATAATTGCTGTTCTGTCCCCCCTGCTGCAGCTTTGTCCTCTGATAAGGAGGTGACCACAGGGGCTGTTAGAGTGCAGCTTACTAGATGCAAGCTTTCCTTATTGTGCAATACGCAAGGAAAATTACTTCAGGATGCCGTGGAACAGATCATCCTGCTTTAGAGGAGGAGAGACAGAAATTAAATATTATTTTAGAAGTTAATGATTGTGTGCTGTCCATGTATGTACCTTCCCTTCTTTTCAAAGACCTATGTACATTGTAAATGTTTGTATGGAAAATTGACGTATCCTGGTGTATTAGGAGTTTTGATTCATCTTTGGACATCAGTAGCAAAAATTATTTCCTGGTCTTTTGGTAGGAGAAAATTATCACATGTACACAGCTGATTTTTGCATCACGACTTAAAACAAACTCCTGATCTTTCCCTGACCAACTAGTCATGCAGCTTCGGAATAGTGGCATAGTTAGAGGCAGGCAAATCATAAAAAATTCAGAGACCTTGGACTTCACTAACAGAGCAGATTTTCATAAAATCGTAATTCTTGCTGGCAAGTTGAAATGGTAACACAGTGCTCACTCTGTGCATAGGGTCAAAGCTGAATAGATGCACGCTGTATGATCATCTCAGTTTCTTATTGTTCAGCATAATATACATGATTGTCATAACAAAGCTGAGGGGGAGGCTGTGCATCAGGAGTCTAAGCAGAGACAGAGAGCAGGCCACAGCAGTGAGTGAAGTGGACTCTGTGGGAGTTTCTCTGGAAGGCATACAATTGCTTTTTAGAGCATACACATTGTCAGAAAACACCATGCTTTTGCTGTGCTGTTTGTACCTCACCCTGCTTTAAGCTCACAAGAGACCACAGTCTCCAGAAACATTTATCTAGTTTAGAACTGAATTCTTCATTCATTTCCAGCAAGAATGGGATCCAGAGATTCAAAATGGGCCCCCAGATGATGGCTCTGTCTTGCAGAGGGTTTTGGTTGCCCTGTACTGGTTGCACAGAGATCAGATTCTGCCTTGCCTTTAGGGGTAACACTTAGTCTTGAACTGCTCCAGCCACTGCCTGGTAGCCATTAGTTTTAGTAACAGTTGGAGGCAATGAGTCCATTGTACAGAGAGAGCCTGCGGAATTGAGTTGCTGTGTGAAAAGGAAGAGTTGTAGGGTTTTAGATCTGCATTAAATCCAGAGAGAGATTCTGCCTACCCTGCTCTGGATCTGCTGGATCCTGATGTAAATCTAAAAGTGACTGGAATATTTACAAACCAGAGAGTGAATTTAAGGCACTGAGAAACCACCCCTTCCTTTCTCATTTTAACCAGCATGGGATTTAAAATATACTATCTAGCCAGGCTGAGGAAATCCTTTGGGTTCCCTATTGAGGAGCAGTATTTTTCCATTTTGTTTCTAGTGAGCGTATGACTTAGCTACAAGTTCAGACCTTAATTTCCAGAGCCAACTTTCTTGCTACATCCAAATACAAATAGAAAGTCAGTTTTATGATGGTTCAAATTCAGAGCAAGATTTTGAATTCAAGTTTTTGAAGCACCAGTTTTGATTTTGGTGCCCTGTTCCATCCCAAAAAGGATCCTAAAGAAGTCTATAAATGTAACAGTGATAGAACGCTGTGCATCACTGGTGTTTCATGTGGTGTTTTTTCAGGTTCGCAAAATTCTAGACTTGGTTCAGAGCAAGGGAGAAGAAGTCTCAGAATATTTCATCCATGTCCTGCAGAAAGTCACTGATGCTTACTATGAACTTCAACCTTGGCTGGACGAAATAGGTTACAAGCCTTCAGAGCATATTTGTAGTAAACCTGTGGTAAATACAGATCCAGGTAAGGTCATGCATCTAATATCCCTTCCTTTAGAACTGCCCTGCTGTGTATGAAGCTCTAACAGGTGATATGAGAGTAAGAGAGTCTAGGGAAAATAAATGTGCGGATGCTGTGCTTGCTAGCAGTGGGAGCCAAATAATTAAAAGGCACACTGTATAGCACAACAGTCATGTTGATACATTACATCCTGTTTTGCTAAAGTCAAGCTCTTTCTGCATTTGTTTGTGCATATGTAGCGTAATGGCATAACCACCTGGTGCCAGCTGTAGTATTTTCCAGGCCTCTGCTACAATTTATTAGCAAAACTGTGATGTTTTGGCAATGGAATAGCCAATATTTAATGATGAGGACAGTCAAACAATGAGGCAAGTTGCCCAGAGGGGCTGTGCGGTCTCCATACTTGGAGGTTTTCAAGATCCAGCTAGATAAAACCCTAAGTAACCTCATCTGATCTCACAAACCACCCTGTTCTCAGAAGGAGGTTGGACTGGAGACCTTTTGAAGTCCCTTCCAACCTGAAATATTCTATGATCCTAAATGATGAGTTATACCAAAAGTCAGAGTTAAGAGTTAAAGTATTGCAGAAATAAATGTTTTCCTCTTGAGAGGTTTTTTCATACTATATAAATACAACAGTTACTTTGCCCCCATATGAAGCAAAGTTTCTGTTGCAGTAAAACCACAAGCTAACGTTGCACAATAACTGAGGCGCTTTTTTTTTTTTTTTCTGTCACCTTAAAAAATATCTTTTGAGGTGCCTGGCACTGAGTTTCTAAAACGCATACCATCTATTTACAATAATAAAATTACCAAACAAGTTAGGAAAGAATAACCACCTACCTGGTAGAAATTGAAGGTAGAATATAAATATGGTGAAAAGGCAGATGCCAAAGCTAATCAGTGACCACCAACCCCTGCCTTTGCAGAGAGTAAAACAGTCTTTAACAAAGGGTCAGGGGCTTGGCTTTGAGTCTCAGCTGAAAGATAGCAGCCCCTTAAAGGGATGCAGTGTCAGCATTGGCTTTCAGGAAATGGTGGCTCACACATTACCTCTTTCATTAGCACCTCAATTTCCCAGGATAGTGATGATGACAGCACAAAAAAATAAAAGTAATCTGCCAAAGAACCAATTTTACGTAAGAATTTTTTTAGTTTATTACCCCCTCTCAGTTCCCAAAGAGGTGGGTTGTAGTATACATAGGCTTTTTAGTAATCTTTTTAATAATAGTTGACTGTCTTTTTTAGTTAGCAGGTATTGCCAGAAACTCAGACATGAACTGGGACGAGACTCCAAGTTTGTTATGTCATATGCTCAGAGGGAAGAGATGCTGCTTGAAGAAATCTATTGTGACAGTATTATGGAGCTGGTCAGTTTTACCAATGAGAGTCTAGGTGAAGTGTGTCAATTAGCAGCCCTTTTTGATGATGCGATTGGGCTAATTAATGAAGATGGAGAGACTGTTTATATCTATGGTGATGCAGGAATTGGAAAATCCATCTTGCTGCAAAAGATTCAAAGCCTTTGGGCCAGAAAAGAATTGGACATAGGGGCCAAATTTTTCTTCCGTTTCCGATGTAGGATGTTTAGTTGCTTTGAGGAAGATGAAGCCATATGTTTGAAAGACCTACTCTTCAAATATAATTGCTACCCAGACCAGGATCCCGCAGAGGTGTTCGATCACATCTTGCAGTTCCCTCAAACAGTCCTTTTCACGTTTGATGGCTTCGATGAGATCTATTCCAACTTTGATCTCAGTAGTGTTCCCGAGATGTGTTCACCCAATGAACCTGTCCATCCCCTGGTGCTGCTGGTAAGCCTTCTCAGAGGAAAGCTTCTTAAGGGATCCACGAAAATTCTTACAGCGAGGACAGGAACTGAGATCCACAGAAACATCATTAGAAAGAAAGTGTTGCTCCGTGGTTTCTCCAGCAATAACCTGAAGGAATATACTGCCATGTTTTTCAAAGATGAGGGGCAACGAACTCTGGTATTGAACCAGTTGGAAGCTAACCCCAATCTCTGCAGTTTGTGTTCAGTGCCTTTATTTTGTTGGATTATCTTTAAATCCTATGAACACTTCCATTCCATGTGTGACAGCCACGAGCTTCCAGACTGTTCTGTTACATTGACAGATGTATTTTTGCTCATGATTGAGGTCCATCTGAACCGATCTCTGAAAACAAGTTTGCTGAAGAACAACACCAGAAGCCAAGCAGAGATGTTCAAATCAAGAAAGGAAACTCTTCTAGCTTTGGGTAAAATGGCATACAAAGGGATGGAGAACTCTTTCTTTATCTTTGAGCAGGAGGAGGTCTCATCAGCGAACATCTCTGAAGAAGATTTGCAACTGGGCTTTCTCAGGACGGTTAAAGGTTACAGTGGCTGTGGCAATCAGTCCACTTATGAGTTCTTGCACTTAACCCTTCAGTCTTTTTTTACAGCTTTGTTCCTGGTTATTGAAGAGAAAGTGGGTACCAAGGAGTTACTTCAGTTTTTCAATGAATGTTCTTCCACTGAGACTGCCCAACCTACTTGCCTTCGTATTCCTTGGTTAAAGAAACAACTAGCAGGGAGAGATCCTTTCCGAAATAATGAACACTTTCATTTTACCAATCTGTTTCTTTGTGGCCTGCTTTCTAGATCCAAGCAGCAGCTCTTCAGACATTTAGTTTTGCCTGCAGTCATTAAGAGGAAGAGAAGGACGCTTGTCACATACCTTGGGGAGAGCATGAAATCCCATCTGAAAGGCCTCACTCGGTCCAGGCTTTCAAATTACAATCAGATCCAGGTCCAGCCCAACTTTGTTTGGATGCTGAGGTGCCTTTACGAGACCCAGAGCGAGAAAGTGGGGAAGCTGGCTGCCAAACGCATGCATGCCAATTACATCAAGCTCACACACTGCAATGCCTACTCTGCTGACTGCAGTGCTATTGCCTTTGTTGTGCATCACTTTCAAAAGCGCCTGGCTCTGGATTTGGACAACAACAACATCAATGACTATGGAGTAAAACAGCTGCTACCTTGTTTCAGCAAGCTTGCAGTGATCAGGTAGGAGTCTGTGCAAACAGATTCTTGCTTATCCTTGGTTTATTCTGTAAACTGATGGGCTGGAGGAATTGATTGTGAAAGCGGAGAAAGATGAGAATTCTTACTGTTGCTGGAAGTTAGTTTCAGATCTTTGGCAATCTTTGTTCAGCCAGTCACAGGAGCAGGG